GCGCCTGTCAAAACGCAGCTCCTCGTTGGGAGTACCCCTCCCCAAACGTTGCGTACTGAGACCCTCCCTCCCTACTTTACCCCTCTGCCCCTCCCCTCCCTCCAGCGCTTCCCTCCTCACTTCCACGACTCCCCAAACGTTGCGTAACCTCCTCCTCCCTGGACGTCTCCTTCTCCATACCCCTCCCTTCTCATGACCTCTGCCGCCCTCCTCCCGCCGACCCCAACCGTCAGACAAAGCCTCCATGCCTCCCCTCCCCCGAACCCCTCCGTCCCTGCCGCCCGTCCCTGCCGCCTCCCCGAAGAGCTCCCCGACCTCCCCGTCCATCTCCCCCGCCGGCCGCGTCCAGCAGCACAGCTCCTACTTCCACGCGCTCCAGGCGACCGGCAGGACCATGAGCCGGTCCATCGACGCGAGGGGCAACTTCCTCGTCTCCCCGCCGAGCCGCTGCGGTCAGGCAGACCTCGAGGGCTGCGTCCTCATCAGCGCGGACGCGAGCAAGGGCTCGCGGAGGTAGCGCCCGACGACTCCGAGCCTCACCAGCCAGCAGCAGCAGCAGCAGCAGGAGGAGGACTGAGAAGGAAGCGCAGGACGGGTAGAGGTAGCGGCAGCCCCCCAGGCACGCACGGGCCCGAGCTGAGCCAGCTCCATGTAGTGTATCTAGCGTCAATGAAGTACCAACTCAACCATGTCCTCCCCATGCCTACAGTCTCCGGGCCTTGCTTGTACTCCTCCCTCTCCCCTCTGCTTACGATCCTCAGCCCGGAGGGGCGATGACGGGCCTCTGCTCATCCAGCGACCCCGACGCCGTCGCCTTCCCTCCCTCCCCCTCCTCCGCATCGCGCTGCATGACCTTCGCTCCTCCCTTCCGCCCTCTCTCCCTCCTCCCGCCCTCCTCCCGCTCCTCCCGCTCTTCTTCGACGCATGTCTCGGACTTATCAGCAATTTATTCCTCGCCTACACCTTGCACGTACTCCCTCCTCTACTCTACATCGCCTTCTCTCCTTGTCCTCTCCTCCTGGGCGTCTTGGCCGGCTTTACTCCCTCTCTCCTCCCTCCTCCAGCAGCCCTTCCGTCGCCGCCGTCACGTCCTCCCACGACCTCCTGTGGCTCTCCTCCCCCGCCCACACCGCCTTCCCCCGCCTAGCCGCGATCCTCCTCCTCGCCTCCGTCACTTCGCGCATGAGCTCTGTCCCGTCTGACTGGACGCGCAGAGCCTTGCCGGGCTTGGCGGCGGGGCCCTGGAAAGGGGAAGAAGAGCACATGCACGAACAGGAGCGATGTAGGGGCCAGCGTGCGTCGCAGTAGGCTTGCTGGGAGGGGGGGAGCTTGAAGACGGGGGCAGGGCGAGAGGAGGAGAAGGAGAGGTCGACGAGGGAGATAGACAAGGAGGAGGGGGGAGGCATGAGCACACAGAGACGCGGAGGAGCGGGAGGACGAGGACGAGGATGAGGCGAAGGATGAGCAAGGGGAGGCAGAGGGGAATGAAGGGTCGAATGCTCTAGAAGGATACAAGAACGTCATCATCACGCTTGCCTGATCGTGACCGGAGTAACCCTCCCCAGGCGTTGCATTATGAGACCTGCCCCCCGCCAACTCACTCACAGCGTTTCATAAAGTCCCCGTCAGCTGTCACGTTCATATCAAGGTCGCTGCTGTATACGAGACCACTCCGAGCTGTAAATCAGTCTTGAGGCCAGGACGAGGATACAAGATGGGACTGTGGGCCTTGTGTCAGCTTCGGAGAGCATATCTGCTCTAAAACACTTGTACTGCACGACCAGTAACTCCGAGCATATCTCATGAAAGACTGCACCTGTCCCGCTGGGTTCGAACGCAACTCTCCGTGGGGGATATTGCTCTGACTGTTAGAAATGCAACCCCTCGTCGGGCTCATGGTCCAACGGTATCCGAGACCACCTCGCTTCAGAGAGTCAGTATCATATTACCAGTCGCGCCTGTCAAAACGCAGCTCCTCGTTGGGAGTACCCCTCCCCAAACGTTGCGTACTGAGACCTTCCCTCCCTACTTTACCCCACAGCCCCTCCCCTCCCCTCCCCTCCCACGCTTCCCTCCCCACTTCCACGACCATCCCCTCTTCATCCCCTCCTCCTCCCTGGACGTCTCCCTCTCCTACCCCCGCCCTTATCTCTCCGGGCGGCCGTGACCCTCCCCGCCGACCCCAACCGTCAGACAAGCCTCCATGCCTCGCCTCCCCGGACTCCTCCGTCCCTGCCGCCCGTCCCTGCCGCCTCCCGACGGGCTCCCCGACCCTCCCGTCCATCTCCCCGCCCGGCCGCGTCCAGCAGCACAGCTCCTACTTCCACGCGCTCCAGGCGACCGGCAGGACCATGAGCCGGTCCATCGACGCGAGGGGCAACTTCCTCGTCTCCCCGCCGAGCCGCTGCGGTCAGGCAGACCTCGAGGGCTGCGTCCTCATCAGCGCGGACGCGAGCAAGGGCTCGCGGAGGTAGCGCCCGACGACTCCGAGCCTCACCAGCCAGGAGCAGCAGCGGCAGCAGCAGGAGCAGGAGCAGGAGGAGGAAGAGGAGGAGGAGAAGTCTCAGGTAGCCGTAGAAGGATAATCCCACTAGGCCCCTTCGCTTGTATCTTATCAATATACTTTTTTCTCATGTCATTGCATCCTGACAGTCTTTAGCTCGATACTTAACGGCAGTCTTGCCGCACTGCGGCAAACCTCGGACGCTGGCGGGGTCGCCACTGAACAGTCCGAACCATATCCGGAGTGAAGTCACCTGTAACCGAGCCTGGCCCCTGATCGGATCAGTGTCCAGGCTGACAGTGACGGTGATTCAACTTAACTTGAGTATACGGGCCGGGCCGCCGCCCGCGCCCCCGGCCCGGCCGGGTCAGTACTGGGTTAAAAATCTACAGGCGGTACCGGGGTGGTGAAGGTGCCATCGGATCGTCGGACTACCGGTCCAAGATAGATTACAAACAAGGTATTTAGTGGGGTGGGGTGAGGGGTCGCATCTGGGGGGACTCATTCCTGGACAGTGCCACTCTGCCTCGGGATAGAATAGAGTACCCTACCCACTAATTTTGATCAATTCTGAACGAAATACTAGGGGTACCTCAATGTCTCTGCCTAGAGAATGGGGGGGATTTTCAACTTCGAGGCTTTGAGGGGGTGGGGTGACTGAAGTACCCATCTTTCAAGAGCAAATTTATTGTTTCAAGGGTGGGTCCTTCAATGCGGCACTCTAAAGTGTGCAGAGGGGTAGGGTCACATAAAAAATTCACTACAGGCAGGGGTGGTACCAATACCGTACTTTGGCCTCATTATGATTTTTCACCCCCTACCCCCCTAGAATTCACCCTACCCTACTAATCACCATATGTACCCTCTCTTTGTATGAAAACGTGTTTATTCCGTAGGGGTACCAATAGTTGTGTATGGGGTACTGGAACAAGTTTCAATCATTCAAGTAAGGTGGGGTAGTCGAGCGAAGCGATGAGATTGTCAGGGATGGGTAGGTGGTCCTGTGTTAACCTGGTGGGTGGGTTATCTGTGGGTAGGGTGTACAAAAGTGGGTGGGGGTGAATCAATACCGGGTCCAAACACCTTCAAGATCCTTATAAGTCCCAGGAGGGTGTATGATTGAGTTCACAAAATGATGGGTGGGGTACTTTTGTGAGGGGTAGAGGGGTAATCTCCCCGACACGTAGTAGTCCTGTCGTCATAATATGACCCCACCCAGGTCGTAATATTTTGGTCACCCCCACCCTCCAGTACAGACCTGTTTGATGGTGGATGTAATTGGTGGGGTGGGGGTATGTACCCCAGATGGCTATTGGGACCAAAACGGGGTGGTTACCCCTACCTAGTATTTTCCCTACAGATCAATGGAAAATCGGGGGTAAGGTGGTCAGGCCCAAAACCCGTAGGAAATGCGCGTGTTAGCGCTTTCGCTTGCGGTGATCGGCGCCGCCATGGCGTTCGAGGTCCCTTCCTCCACCCTGCTCCTCTCTAGCAGAGCTCCAGGACTCTGCCAGGGAAGGTTCACCCGCCCCATGGCTGTGAAGAGAGCTGGTGTTCGTGCTGGGAGAAGCGGAGTCGTCCGTGGCATGACCATGACGACGGTGGAAGAGAAGACGAAGCAGCTTGTGGGAGCGAAGGCGGCGCTGAAGGAGCTCATCGATCAGACCAATGCAAACCCAATCATGGTGAGAGGAGGAAACACCATAGCAAGGTGCAGGGGAGGTGTGGAGTCGAGGTTGGGAGGATTGGGCGTGAAGGGTCGGAGCTGTAAGAGTTGTGAAACCCTGAGAAGTGAAGCATGTCGTAGCACATGCGATGAGTTGCTCTGATCTTGATTCCACCTTGTTAACATTTTCCTGTTGAGCTTCCTCCCATTTCCAGCACTATCCTCTCTCCCTCCTCCGTATCCTGCCCCTTTCCTCGCAGTACCTGTAAACCAGAGGGAATCATTACGTTCTCTTCCTCCTCTCGACCTCTGAAGGACAGCCATGCTGCAGGTTCGTCTCGCCTGGCATGACTCTGGTACCTACGACGACAGCATCAAGACTTTCCCCAAGGCTGGCGGCGCCACCGGCTCCATCCGCTTCGATCCCGAGATCCACCATGGCGCCAACGCTGGTCTGACCAACGCCGTCAAGATGCTGGAGCCTATCAAGCAGCAGTAAGACATGGAGGCATGGAGGAGAGATGGTGATGAGATGGTGATGAGATGAGGAGGAGGAGGAGGAGGAGAGATTAGGAGGAGAGATGGTGATGAGAAGGGGAGGAGGAGGAGGAGGAGGAGGAGGAGGAGAGATTAGGAGGAGAGACGGTAGGAGTGGAGGAAGAGGAGGAGGAGGAGGAGGAGAGG